AAGTAGTTGAAGAGGTCATCCGGCCAATGTAAGAGTGCTGATAACAAGGTCGAGGTGAGTTCCCACCAAACATGGCACAATCTGTGGAGTTTTGCGGGGGGTCACACTTGACTCGTGCCAGGTCGAGGCTAAACTTGAAAAGGCAGTGTTAAGCAAAGGAAAAGGCTTCGGGAGGGGTTTATCAAATTGCCGCTATCAGTTTTTGTCGGCTCAAAGCAATTACGAGAAGCTAGTTGATAACGAACACTCCACTTGCAACTGCTGGTTAGATTAACTTCAACCCCCAACATACTGCACATCATGCGGAAGAGCGTATCAAGGTCACGTAACGGGTGTGCTGTCTGCAAGTCCAAGCGAGTAAGCAAGATCACTTCTAGTTGAGTTGCTTCTGCTAATGATTCTATGTTGGTGGCAGCTCAAGTGCGATGAGGCTAGACCGAGCTGTTCTCGCTGTGAGCGGCTGGGAATTACCTGCCCGGGGTACCAGAAACCTTTGAAATGGACTCGGTCATCTAGAATGAGCCAAGAAAAGCACTATGCTTCGGAGAGTTCCTTGGGCTTGAGCGTCAACCGTGAGGTTGAGACGCCGATTGTACCAGAGCACTCCCCGCCTCTCGGGTTCTTGGAACAGCTTGATGAAATTTTTGACACCGGAAGCCTCGATCTGTATGACCACGATACCGTCGATTCACCCTTCTCATTCGCGCCTTCGTCAGAGCAGGCGAACTCTTTCCAGGATAACGAAGCTACCGTGGTATCGCGAAATAAATCCTGGCAAAGCTCTCGTGATGGTCTGTGGACGGACATTTTTTCACCGCTGGCGCAAGAAGGCACCGACCGTCTTCAACTTCAAACATCACGACAACGGCAGACACCCACAAAGTCTCGCAACCAGACGCCGATACCACAACCGCTCCGGGACCATTCATCCGTTTTGGTCGAGTACTACTTCAAGGAGGTTTGTGGCCTGATGTCGTGTTACGATAGCCCGATGAACCCCTACAGGTCAGAGATCTCCAATGTATGGTCTCAATCTCAACCTCTATACTACATTACGCAGAGTATGGCCGCCGCCTGCTTGTCCGAGGTTTCGCCAAATATGTCCTTGACAGGCCGCCAGCTCCGCGATAAGGCTGAGGAGAGCTTGGCCAGAGAGAGCGCGGCTGGGCTGACGGACAAGATATCTCTTCTTGCGGTCGTTATGTTGGGCATGAGCCGTTCTTGGCATGATGCAGGACACCTTGGCCAAAGGGAATATGACATTCTAGCCAAGGCTATTGAACAAATGGATCAGCACCATGACAGTGTTTCATTGGCTGAGAAACAGAAGCATTTCTTCTTTTACAACTCTCTGGTATACTGGAAGCTCTTGCTGTCATTTGTTACGGACTTGAATCTGATCCGGCCTGAAACCACAATTTTCCAACCACAAGTGGAGGAGCCCACCGCCGCAGTCGACCGATATGAACCACGGGTCCCTCACCCGCAGACCGGTGTAGGAATAGAAATACAAGAATTGGTTTCTCAGGTCGGAGCACTAGTAAGGAGAGAGCGAAAGAGGATCCGCTCTCGCAGGTTTGCATCGAGAAATGATATCGATACGGCCGAGGCTGCCATCCAGGAGGCTACAAGGCTTCAAGCAGATCTTTGCGCCATTGTCCTGCCGAGGGAAGCCACCGTTATCGACTCAGGAGATGATGTGACACCAGCAGCCCATCTCCTAAAGGTCGCAGAAGCATATCGATGCATGGGGCTCCTCCAGCTTTTCAGAAACTTCCCTGATCTTCTCACGTTCTCCACGTCTTCTGGCACTCACAATCAGGTCTTCCAACTCGAAAACAATACCAGTTCGATCTCCAGTACGAGTGATCAATGTCCCACGGATACGTGGCTGACATGCTTAGCACTCCATATTCTTCATTTGGTGCAAGGCATCCCAGTGTCCTCTCGCAGTCGGTCTATTCAACCGCTTCTTCTCGTAGCCATTTGCAGTGAGCTTTCACTTAGCCGCTCCTACGGTATAGTGGCTAGTCCAGACAGCGTGTCTCTAGAAAGCATCGTATCTAGTCCTGTATTCCAATCATCGCCAAGCATAACAGACATTCTACAGGCAAGAAGGGACATTGTATCACGGCTCTCCTACTTTGAAAACATACTGGCTGCAAAGCCAGTGAGGATGATGATACAGCTGGTCAAACAGACTTGGCGCAGAATGGACGAGGAACAGCAAGATTTATACTGGATGGATGTCATGATGGACGGAGGGTATGAAACATTGATAGGATAACCGTCTTGCGAAAAGGGATGCTATAGCCAGTGAGAACCTGAAGTTGGCGGGATCTTGGTCATATCCAACTAGGTCTGAGCCGTGTCAACCTGAACACGGAAGAACTGCCACTGTATGTTGAGTGATTCTTCGCATTCCAAAACTCGGGCAAGCTACTGCAAAACCATCCATGGTGAGGGAAGTGACTAGAATAGACGCCCAAACCTTCACAGAGCCACACAAAAACACTGACAACCTTCCGCTCTTGGAGTGGTAGATTATCTCTGCTCTCATGTGGCCTGGAATGCCTTGAGGCTCACGTGTGATAGACTTTGGTCTTAGTGGTCTCAGCCGCCCTGAACAAGGTTTATCCACTAAATTAGCTGCTACAGTAAACTCATATCTTTAGTTAAACTCTCGATTTCGGGTAGATCATCTGAAGGATATTGGAAAGCCGCCATTATATCGTCGTTGTTCGTTCGCCACTAAACTTCACACATCGTGGCACCATGCTTTCGGGGCTAGTATAATTAAACACTTGGTCTTCCTAATATTAAGTTATATACACCCAATAGGAAGATTTCTCCAGGTCTCATTACTAGAGCCACTGCTATTATGAATTTCGAAATACTAATCTAGAAGTCAGAAGATATGTACCGGATTCGATCGGCCAGTCCTCTAGGATCTCGAATCCAATCAAGGTTTACTAGACAGGGCCTCGAAGCAGCTTCATCCTGATATTCATCCGAACTGTAATTCTATGGACTGACTTTGTAATGTGCAATGGAGATTCCAGACCAACACGCCAAGATTACGGTAGCTTACCGTTATGAACGCTACCCGCATCGGTGATCCATCGCGTGGATGAGGCGGCCGCCCCTAGACAGAAGGACACGAAGGAATTTTATCTTTGTCTTGGAACGGGGATAAACCTTGATGTTTCGATATCTGGTCTAATCAGGAGGTTTAGACGAGTAGTGACTTTTAGGTGCCGTGTCAGGAATTATTCCCATTGGTCTTTTGAAATGACAACGGGACGGGCTGAACCACCCTTAGCCCATAGCTTAAAGTATAACGGTACTATTGCATTCCTGACTGAGGCTAGTTTCGCAATCCTCGCCTGCTTCAGGAAAAGCGTTTTGAACATTTATATTCCCTACTGAAATATCTAGAATATCCTAGGAATGTTCTCCATCGTGAGGGCATCACGGAGTTGAATGTGAGTTTCCAAGGCAATCAAGCCATTCGCGCTACTATGGTCTCAACAGAGGAGGTATGGAAAGACCTCAATCTGGAAAGTTACAGGATATACAGAGTTGCAGGTATTCATTCGAGTCGAAAAACTATATAACAGACAGTTACCTCGACTCATCAGAAAAGATTTATAACAACAAAGACAACATCAACTGACTGGTCTATCATACCTACCTTGATCAAACCCAATAATCGACATGAAGTTCTCACGAGTTCTCTTCTTCGCCTCTCTTGCTCTAGCTGCACCTACAGCTCTTGTTGAGAAGGATGAGCCAGCTCTTCTGCTTGACGAGCGCCAAAACGACCCAGTTTCAGCCGTTGTCACTGCACTCAACTCAGTGACGAACACCATCAATACTAGCGGTGGCGCGATCCGTAAGCAGGTTTCTAAGTGAATGGGAACTGACAGGTACTAACAGTTTATACAGAATCGGCAATCAATGGTATCACCGGAAATGTTGATGCCCAAGTTCAAGTCCTTATCAGAGCCAATCTTGATGCTATTCTCAAAGCCCTTCAAGACGCCACAACTACAATTCTCACCTCAACCCTCGATTCAGCTGGTAATATCACCGCAGCCGCCTCTGGTCTCACCCAAGCACAAATCAACAATCTTGCCGCAGCGGTCCAGGGTGCCATTGCAGCTGTTAACCAGCTCAGGATTATTGCCACCCTCACTGCTACCGACCTCACGCCCGCCGTGTTCGACCTAGTCCAGGGCCAGATCACCGCCATCCAAAACACCATCCAACCTTTCATCACCCCTGTTGCCGCTTTCGCCAACGCAGTTTCTAAATTCAATGCCAGAATCGGCATCACTGTTCTGGGACTGACCAACGCGACCTCCACTCTTGTCAACACTGTCCGAAACTTGCTCAATGGTCTTGGCCTTGGGGGCCTTGGGGGTCTTCTAGGGGGGATTCTAGGTTGAATGGTTCTTATGTAGTATTGACTACTAGGAAAATGTTTCAAGTCTCAAAAATGAGCTTGAGGTTGTTGATTTAATTTTATGCCTGGCTGCAATTTTCCGCTTCTACAAATCTAACATTTCTACTTTACAAAGGTGTATTGGTCCTTGTTCCAAAATCACACACTACCATCCCTTATTGTAATGCTGCATTAAGTAGTTGAACTTAATATGACTTGATTGAAACATTTTCCATAATATGTTTGCCTACGTGAGAGGAGCAAAAGGCGGCTGAAGGCACCGATCATCATATTTCGGCCGCTTTTTTAATAAACTTAACGAATACAGCTAAATTGGACATAGTCACTTGTTGGAGCATTTGACTCAATACAGAAAACAAGAGTTAATTTGAATATCCATATGAAGATGCATCGAATTATATACACTCCCATCTTACGCCTTCTACTTCCGAACATACTTGAACAAATGCATGTAGTTGCATTTGTATGAATCCATGGCATTCTCTATTCTATTTCAATCTTTACTTTTGAACTTTGGAGCTCCTATCTAAAATTAATAGCTTCGTGGCAAGTCCAGTACCCTTTCTGAGATAAAGTTGAGAATCATCTCTCGACTTACTGGAGCGATTCGAGGCACAAGACACTCCCTGAACCACCGCTCCACGTCATATTCCATCGCATAGCCCATGCCGCCATGCGTAAGAACAGCCCGCTCACAAGCAGTAAATGCCGCTTCGGCAGCAAGATATTTTGCGCTGTTGCAGGCAACCCCGATCGCATGCGGGCTGACTGCAGACCCGGTTTTGCTGTTGTCATAGAGTCTGGCGGCGTGGTATGTAGCCAACTTGGCCGCCTCCAAACGCATGTAAGCGTCGGCAAGGGGATGGGCAATTCCTTGATTCATGCCAATAGGCCTGTTGAAGACGACGCGTTCCTTGGCGTACCCTGCTGCCTTGGCCAGTGCCGCATATCCCAGACCCAAGGCCTCACCAGCCAGCAAGCATCTCTCTGCATTCATCCCGTGAAGCACAATCTTGAAGCCCTGGCCTTCGGAGCCGATAAGAGTGCTCTTTGGAATCACGTAGTTGTCAAAGAAGACTTCGTTGGCATCCACGGCTCGGCCTCCCATCTTCTTGATCTTTCGCATATCCAACCCGGGCTTCGTACGATCCAGATCGATAAAGAACAGGGACAAGCCCTCGCTGGGTTTCTTGACCTCCTCAAGCGGAGTGGTGCGGGCTAGCAGGATCATCTTGGAAGCCACCTGTGCACAGGTAATCCAGATCTTTTGACCCGTGATGCTGTAGCCATCACCGACGTCCTTTGCCGCCGTGGACAGACTGAGCGTGTTGAGCCCGGCGTTGGGTTCTGTTACGCCAAAGCACACCCGTGTCTTACCGGATACGATATCAGGTATCGACTTGAGCATCTCTTCTGAGCCAAACTTGGCCAGTGGCTGTGTTGCGTAGATATTGGCGTGAATGGCCTGGGCGCCCGCCATCCCGGCGCCGGACTCGGTGATGGTCTGCATCATCATAGTAGCTTCTGAAATGCCCAGGCCTGATCCTCCAAATTCCTCGGGTAATGCCACGCCTAACCATCCGTCCTTGGCTAGTGCGGCATGGAAATCCTTGGGGTCGGTCTCGGTTTGGTCGAGATTCTGCCAGTAGGTATTGGGGAAATTGGAGCAGACCTGGCTGACCGACTCACGGACCATGAGTTGGTTTTCAGTGAATCCTGTCGTGTCCATGATCTGGCGAGAAGCTGTGCTTGAGAATGTACGTGCTGTGTTCTTGTTTGCACCTCTCGAGATGAGCCGAGCTCCGGCCCTCATTGAAGGGGCTACGCATCTTGTGAGCCTGAATGAATGCATTTTTACGCTCTTGATGAACGATCCAACTATAAAATTAAATGATATAGAGCCGGTAAACTAGAAAGCTCTGGGATGAGGCTGATGATATATAATTAAGCAATTCTGGTGACGGGATGTCGCTCCGCAGTCTCGGTTACTTAACAAGAGGAGAGGCTCGGTAACTCGGCTTCTTCGTCCAGCAAATGAGGAGAACACCAAGTAAACGGCTTCTTCCACATCACCGGCAATATCCAACCGCCCTCCGATCGGCCCTGGCACCAGAGGCGATAAGTCAAGTTATTTCCATTCCCTTGAGAAGCCATTTTGGGACGGCAACGAGCTGGGTGTTGGTCAATTCAATCCATACACTCATTGTCAGTCCAGCAAAAGACATTTCAGATCCAATCCGACCGTTCACCATGCCGCCGGTTTCGTTCCTTAGCAAAAGGCTGGGGCAGGCTCTCCAACCAACATTTTTCCGGCATCCAAAATGCAGTGGCCTCGGAAAGTTCTCACTCAAAGCGCCTGGGCCCTCTGCTCTCGTGCGCCGCTTCTATATTTCAGATAAACAAGACAGAAAGAACAATCTCCCGCTTGACGGAATCACAGTCGTGAGCCTCGAACAAGCCATTGCTGCGCCATTCTGCACTCGGCAACTGGCCGATCTCGGTGCCCGCGTGATAAAGGTGGAAAGACCAGTCGTGGGCGACTTTGCGCGCAATTATGACACTCGGGTTGATGGCCTCGCTTCGCATTTTGTGTGGACGAATAGGTCAAAGGAAAGCCTGGCACTTGATGTCAAGGACCCCAAGGCTGCCAAGGTTCTGGAATCCTTGCTCAAGACAGCCGACGTCTTTGTGCAGAATCTCGCTCCTGGGGCTGCAGACAGGCTTGGTCTCTCATTTGAGAACCTGCACAAAGTCAATCCTCGTCTCATCGTGTGCAATATATCGGGTTATGGTCCCACGGGGCCATATAGAAAGAAGAAAGCGTATGACCTTCTCGTACAAAGCGAGGCGGGCGTCTTATCTGTCACCGGAACAGACGCGGACCCTGCCAAAGTTGGTATCTCTATCGCAGATATCGCAGCCGGCATGTACGCTCAGCAGAATGTCCTGGCTGCTTTGATCCACCGTGGAATCACCGGCAAAGGCAAACAAATAGACATATCCATGCTCGAGAGCATGGCAGAATGGATGTCTTTCCCCATGTACTACACATACAAAGGCGCCGAGCCTCCGAAACGCATGGGGGCTTCGCACTCAGCCATCTACCCATACGGCCCCTTCGAGACCGGCCAGGGCGGTACTGTGATACTTGGCTTGCAAAATGAGCGCGAGTGGGAGAAGCTTTGCTCCGTGGCACTGGGAGACCCCCAACTTGCCGTTGACGAGAGGTTTTCGACTAATTCGCTTCGGTCCGAAAATCGCGAGGCTCTGAAGAAAATCATCTGCGAGATCTTCTCCAAATACAGTCCCGAGGAAGTTCTCGCCCTCTTAGATGAAGCAGGGATTGCAAATGCCAAGATGAATGACATGAAAGGACTGTGGGAACACCCGCAATTGAAGGCAAGAGGCCGCTGGACAGAGGTTCACAGCCCAGTAGGAAAACTACCTGCCTTGCTACCGCCCGGCGTTGCAAGTGTTGATGATGTTAAGATGGATGCGGTACCGGAAGTTGGTGAACACAATTCAAAAATTCTACAAGAATTGGGGTTCATTGGAGACTTTCTAGACCATTGATGAAGTTTATCATCGCGCGGAGGTTTAAGAGCTTAGAATATATGATGAAAACTCCATCTTACGAATTAAATAGATCTTAAGAACATTTCTTGCGCTATGTTTAAAATGATAGCCTACTTATTGCGTTCCATCCTGCTTTGTAAAACAAGAACTTAAAAAGCTTGTACGCGACCAAGCCTCCAAGCTTCATCTTTCTTAATAGAGGAGAGACCTTTATAGAATTGCCGATTCGACTATCAGAAGTTCATTGTCAAGAAGTCCCTTCATAGGATGAACGGAGGTGGTTATCGTATAACTATTCTTTGGAATTACTTCGTCACTTATAGAGGTTTCTCTAGCACATCCATCTCGAAATCATTATACTCGGTCAAAAAGGCCCCCAGATCTCCCGTAGACTCATTCCCTTCCCAATATCCATTCCACATGAAAAGATGCGGATCTTCAAAAACATCGTTCTGTATCCGATTTGTTACTGAAGAAGGTTCTAGTTGTTCCAAAGTCGCTTGGTTCACTTGCTGATGAATGCCTGTCGGCTCGGTCATCTCATCGCTTGTTCCTCTTAGCTGCTTCATGATCGAATTATCGACAAACTGCATGAAAACGTCAAGGACGTTGTTGTTGATCCTCCAATACTTTTGTATCTCCTGCAAGCCCAAGAGACAGGCCTGGGCTCGGTTTTCAGCTATCCGCCGGGCGACTCCTGTTCCCCTTCTGATACTGACAACATGAATGCAGAGAGCGGCGAAGAGACTGGTTATCCTAGAAACAAAGGTTATTAGTCATAGAATATAGACGGCTATATCATGAATCCATACAAGTGCATTTGGCCAAACCGAAGTGCCCCACGGGTGAGCAAATCTTCAGCAATTCGGCTGATGCGAGTCGCGGCATGATACGCCATTTCGGCGCTATCGACAGCATCTCTCTGCCGCATGAAGCTGTTCCGGTGAATCAGAATTCGAAGATGACTTGATTTCCAGTTGTCAGTTATAACCTACACTACAGCTGAGATTGAATTGACTTACTAGTATGCCAGATGTAAGAGACAGGTCCAGATGGGTGCATTGTCTGAATCAATGCCGTTCTTTACGTCTTCCGGCAGACTCTCAAACCATGAATGCAGCGCGTTATCCAGAACCTGCACATCGTATTGTTGGGGTGAAGATCGCCCCGGAAGGAAATATAAATCAATCACACGGCCAACTATGCAATATTAATTTCCATTCCAAAATATGTATTGTTGGCATTCAACGTACGTAATTTCGCAATTTCAACCATCTTGATCACATAGACCATATGGTTCGGCTGGCAGGACCCAAAGGGAAACCCTTCTGGATCTACAACTTCAGAGCTCAGGTCTGAGTCGAGAAGAGGTTCTGTGTCACAGTCTTCGTCCCTGATCCTGCTTGGTAGCCCAAGTGAGGCAGCGGCCTGTCTTTCGCGAACCTGGTTACGTTAGCATGTTGATGGGGGAAGCATAATGAGAATGAACCAACATAGATAGACCACCAAATCCTCCGACGTAACCGCGTGGGACTGTGACCCTTGGTTGTAAATTTGGTGCTGTGGCATGAAAAGTTAGCTACGAGAAATAAACTTGAACTCGTCGTCACTCACGAGCGATGAAGGCCTTGAGACTCGGCCAGAGAGATGACCACCCCGAGCCAGTACCTCACGTCTCTTATATCGGTCGGGCCTCCTCTCCAAAAGCTCATTAAGAACACAGACTGTATCAAAGTGATCTTGTCTTGTTCCCAGTCGGCACTATACAGTAGGCGAGTCTTGGTATAGAACCTGGCCTTGGCTTCCGCACGGTCTTGAAATCCGATATTTGAGATGATTTCATCTGTGCAATATGTGCTGCCAAGAAACAGCATCGCATTCAGTAGGAGAGGAGATAGTGTCCCATTTGCTAGATGCTGCGCGGTAAGACGCCGATCTAGGATGGGGAAACATGGGTGGAACCAGGTGAAGTAAGCTTCCAGTACTGGAATATAGTCCTTTTGATCTGGAAACTCCAACACTTGTTCCTCACGAAGAAGCCTCAAGGTACTGGCCGGTATGTCTTCGGCTGCATTATACGAAGACGGTGGAGTGTTGCCATTGTTGCTGTTCACTTCTGCACGGGGCAAGACCACGTTCAAAGGAGGTTCAAGATGTCCGCGACGCCCTTGGCCAACGTCGTTGTTGGAAGAGTCTTCAGTACCCTCTTGTCGAGGGGGCCCGGGCATCAATGTGATGAAGTTGGACTCTCCATAGAAGACGGTCGCCTCGGGGGACGTGATAGAGACCGAGGATGCTGGGACATCTGGTGGTGTCAGAGCCTGACTCTGAGCTACCCGAGCTTCAGAGTCTCGAATGTTTCTCTGATTACGCTCCTCCGTGGCCCCTGCTGCGACTATACCTGACTTTCCTGCAGCCGAAGGTGTCCGCAGAGTCCCCGCTGTTGTTGCCGGCGACGCTTGGCTGTTTGCCTTTCGGGGCTTGCGAGGGTAACTTGCCGACTCCGTGTAAGTGATAATTTTGGGAAACAGACCTCTACCGGGATCATTCACTTACCGTCCCCTTCGCGAGGCAAAGATCTCGCAGGACACCGATCCTTTCTCGCAGTTGGAGCACGGATAGCGCTCGGTCACGTCGCAACGCACTCGGCGTACATTGCATTCACGACAAGCACGCTTTGCACGCGTGACCCGCGCAGGAGCCTTTTCGATGTGAGTAGGCATCTTTGGCAAATTGTTGGACATGCTCTACCAGAGTGCGGCGGGAAAGTCTCGTCCTTGAAGGACGTCACAGGAATGAGTTTCGGCTACTTCGGTTACTTCGGCTTCTTGATATTCCCTGGCTACCTACCCTGTAGTGTGAGTACCCTATAGTACCAATCAAACTCTAATCTGCTGAAATTACTTCCTCCCATCAATCGCGGTGGTTACAAAGGGCTTATCTTATTATATAATGAAGAAATAAATGTATTTTGAGACTCTGAGGGCTTTACCATGAAATTATGATCACAATGAGCAGTGGGCCTACCGATCTCTGAGACGTAATTAATGTTGGAACTTATCGCCTAAACTTATATGATTTAAACGCTTGACTTCTCTACAAAGCTATTCAACTTATTTCGGAGACCTGAAGAAGGCCTTGGGAAGTATCAAGGATCGGCGCGATCCGATGAGGGCTGCATGTAGTATTCTCATTGAGGTCGAGTAAAAGTTGACAACGTGATTTCATGTTGGCTAGAATGTTTGAGCACGTGAGAGATTGAGAATGTGGGGATAATTTTCTTGGGAGATTTCAGCTGTGGATCAACCGATTGCCCCTCTGCATATTTGATTTCTGATCCTGCAAATTATGTAAACATTCGTTGGCACCCTCTCTCAAGGTATGACTGCATCAGTCTTTGAGCAATAGCTCCAGTCCTGTGAACGTGAGCACGTCAATGATTCTTGGGTACGGCGCCCGTTCATGACAGCGATTGACGCAGCGCAGACGTGTCACTCTCTGTGATTGGGTGAGATCCGGATCTGGAACCCTTGATAAGACGCGTTTTATGGAGTTATCTAAGCGATATGCAAAGGGTCTTCCCAATCCAGAAGCTGGTCATCCTACAAGATTCCGTCATCCGCTCCCTTTAAATTAATCTTGGTTTTGACGTTGGCCGTTCCTCCTCAGGCTGGCGGAAAGGTTAACGAAGAATCTGTCTGTCTACCAGTCTCACCAGCTCACGACAGGACTTGGTGCAATTCTTTCCTTCAAACTCCGTTCCTTTTTAGCTGTCTGACCCGGGTTCTACACTGCAGCGATGGCAGGGGGTACTGAGCGCAGCCCCTTGCTGGGCCAACGTTCCCGCTCGCCATCAACAAACACTCAACTGGGCGATGCTGTCCATGGTCTAAGTCGCGAGGCGAAAGGCCGTAATATCATCATAGTGATGCTCTGCATCATCCTGTTCTTTGCAAGCTGGGCGAATGGCTTCACCCAAATCCCTATCTTGCGTCTGCTGGAGGACAGAATTTGCCATGAATACTATGACATGTCCATGTCACCTCTCGAGCCAATCGATGAGAATCTTTGCAAGGGAGAATGGATCCAGAGCCGCCTGGCTTTCATCCTGAGCATCAATTCTGCCATTGGAGCCTTGGCGGGTTTTCTTGCCGCATTTCCCTGGGGAGCTGCGGCAGACCGGTAAGCCCAAATCCCCTGTTGATCTGAGGCGTGTTCGCTAATCTAACTTTTGAAGCGTCGGCCGCAAGCCAATTCTTACCCTTGCCTTGACTGGGATGGCCCTCGAGGTTGTTTGGGATATTGTCGTCATCTGGTTTCACCATATGCCTATCAAGCTTATATGGCTTGGAGGAATTTTTAATATTGTGGGCGGCGGGAACGCGATCATTGTTGGCATGATCTTTAGCATAGCCACTGATGCGACGACTGATGAGAACAGGCAAGTTTGCAATATACATTCAGAGCCTGTAGAAGTCCCACTGACTTGTGCCCAGAGCCGTGGCCTTTTTGCGACTTCACGTGGCGGCGATGGCAGGATCGCTGCTCTCCCCAACTCTATGTGCCCTCGTTATGGAGCGAGCATCGCCCTGGACTTGCCAGTGGATTGGGGTATCGTTGCTTATGTTTGGGAGTGTGGCAATATACGCAGTTCCCAACCCCCCCAAACCACCACACTCCCCCTCGCATGACGAACAAGAATCAGACTCGGATGACGAGGATCCGGTGAATCGGAAGACGGTATCCAGGTTCCTGAAGATGATTTCTCTTCCAATAACGCCTTCTCTATTCATATTCTTCTTACTCGTCTTTCTCTCAATGCCGGTGGCGTTGGCTACACAAATGTTCATGTCCCAGTATGTCTCCAAACGCTATCACATCAAGCTGGCAAGTACGGGGTACATTCAATCAACATTTGGTGTTGGGCACATCATCCAGGCATTCGTTATTCTCCCATTATTGTCTCACTTTTTAACATCAGCAACCACGCCGGCCATATTCCGGCTCAAGGACGAGAAACTGAGAGACGTCGTCTTACTTCGGGGCTCATTCTTCTTTCTTATTCTTGGGCTCATCGTGGTCGGTTTGGCAACGGATCTTGTTGGTTTCATGTTTGGTCTGGTGGTGTTGGTGCTTGGTTCGGGGTACGCCAGCCTCTTGAAGAGTCTAATGAGCCTGTATGCCGACGCCAAACATCGATCCAGGCTCTTCAGTCTCATCGGCATGGTGGAAGTACTGGCGCGCGTTTACTCGGAACCAGCCCTTGCTGGACTCTACTCGCTTGGGCTACGTCACGGAGGTGGTTGGATCGGCATCCCGTATTTTGGGGTGGCATTGCTTATTGCAGTTTGTCTTGCTTTGCTTTCCTTTGTGAAATTACCAAAATCAAATGAGGAGGCTGTACCTAATTAGACTTGACAACGGTATGGGGATATAGAAGTAACCATAGAGGGTAGATATATACGAGTATGGACATAGAGGTCGATAAATGTTGATACAATACAAATTACTACTGTTGTTAACCAAGATCAATGACCCAAGCATGAAAACACATATTTTCAAAAATGTCAAGTATTAATGACTAGAGTGATCTATCCAGGAGCAACTTAGACAGTAAGTGACATTTAAAAGGATAGGCCATTAGTAAAATACACGGTATATTCTGCTACTAAGCATTCTCACTCTAGTGGAAATGGGGTTTGAACATAGATCTGTAATGCTATGATGAATAAAAATAGCTAAGTCTGTATCAAGTTCCATCCATAATATGCGGGTAGGTGTCAAAGACCTCAGGTGTCATATTATGAAGCCTCAAACTCAAGAGTCAGCTGAGGCACTCCCGTGAAACCTGCGGGCATAGACCATGTAAAACCCCAATATTCAAAGGTATTGGATGGGCTTAATTCGCCACCATTAGAACCTGCAAACTTTGTGACATACGCCATGTTGATGTTTCCAGAAGGCGTCATCGAAATCCCTTGCATGTGCTTAATGCCAGCCAAAGTTTTCCTCCCCTTGAAAGTAGTCGCAATAAATTGGAATTTGCTGTCAGCATTTCCGCTGGGGTAAGAGAGCACCACCTTTCCTGGCGACACTTCAGCTTGTAGGGCTTTTTCCGAAGGGCGTAGCTGGAGACCTGATTAGTACCCGAATGCAACGAGATGGAATGTGCTTACAGTTAAGAAGGCTATTTCATCGTCGGTTATCCACTGCACTACCACAGGATTGGTGGTGCCAGCTGGGCCGCCAACCCCGGTTTGGTTGAAAGACATGCCTCCGATGGTCAGTTTTTCAGACATCCAGGTTGTAATGTTTCTTATATCGAGATCATAGGGTGGGTAATAAGCTTGAGCGGTGAATGTGCGCTCTTTATCGAACGTCTTAAATTGGTCAAAGAAGTTGTCTGGCAAGTGCTTGGCTTGTGTGTCTGCCAGCACTGCAACAAGCGGTCCCCAAGCATAATCAGGCGAGTGACTCATCAGATGTGGCTTCCATGTTCATTTGTCAGCATTTTTACATCATCAAAACGCTTATGAGAGTAGAGAGAAAGGCGGACTGACCTGGCTGATGAGAGAAGATGCATTCTTTCCCAGATATGCCCAAAACCATAAGGCCATGATGCTAACGTATCGATTCATGTCGTATCCATAGGTGCGATCCCATGGCCCAGCCATGTTCTTCATAGTCGGGTGCCAGAGCTGGCTGATGGAATCCCAGGTTTTCTGGAGCATCACAGGTCCCATCCGTGACATGGCAGAATCTTCTGGAAGATACGTGCTCCAGAGAGTAAGGCCAAATACGGACACTCCCGTGTATGTGGCGCTATTGAACTCGGACAATGTATTCGTCTTATTAAAGAGAGCGATGATGTCGTTGGCGTACGCTTCACCTGCAGAGGTCATGTTCTGATCATTTGTTTTGCGACCAACCCATCCTGACACGAACGCCCTCATGATAGCCTGAACTGGTTAGCCATAGTTTCTTCTGGAGTCTGACCTTTCTCTAAGGAAAGACTCACCGGATTGCTATATGACGGGTAGAGATTGTCACCATTCTGCCCCCCGTTTCTGTACGAGTCCCCTATCGCTGTGTGAACGAGTGAATCTATGATGAGCTTCTGGGTCTCCGCAGAAAGGAGCCCGGAGTACTCCTCGAGAATGATAATAAAGGTTGTCCCAACAAATCCGCGCCAATTTGGGTCCCATGAGTTGTAAATTTTGGCCGAGTAGAGCGGCGAGCCGACCTCAGGTTCCTCTGGATACTTTTGGTAGGTTCCATACCACTGCTGTGTTGTGTTTTTGAACTGACCCCCGATGACGTTCCCAATGATTTTCTCGGCTTCTGCAACGTCATTGTTTTCGTTCCTCGCCAACAGACCAAGAGCATACCAGGCGGAGCTGCGAGTTTCATGGCGAAGAGCCTCCTGCGTATTGAGATCATAGAGATATCCGTTGTTGCTGTCGTAGTTCATGTCTAGCCATTTCATGGAGTCGCTGAAAAGCTGTTGAACGTCTGGACTCCATGATGATGGTGTGGCAGCCAAGGTAGTCGCGCAGCTCGTAGCCAGCACCCAGAGGTAGGGTAACATTTTTACTGATTGAAGGTGCAAGTTTATCCGGCGCGGGCTTTCTGGGTATCTATCCTACCGAATGACTGGTTTGGCTTTTTGCGATGGAAGTCTTTTTGGAGCAGACTACGCCTTGCTTGTTTACGGGCCTTGATCGGGTAGATATATGGCTGGGTGTGGAGAACGATGAGCAGATCATCATGCGTAGCCCCTGGCCGGCTAATGTTGGATTCACCGTACTGAGTGGGAACTCCTCCCTGGAACAAGCGTGATCAGCATGGGGTCTTAGGCTGGGTTCTGGATGATTAACTTATTCATTGTTGACGTTCCATCCAGGCGTTACTGTTGTTCCTATTTAGCTACTAAATTGCGAGTATCAGGGTGTTACGCGAGGCAGACTATGTCAGAACCAGGCTCTCTCACTTAAGGCTTGGTCACGAGAAAATACAGCAAATATTCATCTAAGTAATATACGGCAGGTGACATAGTGCTACCGGTAGTTCATACGAGTTGTTACCTAGTTACGCCTTTTATCCGGAGGGGCAGAGGTAGATAGGGATGTCTGCATCGCTCTCCACATGCTTGATCGAGCCATCGCCGAAAGTGCTTCTGCTTACTCGTCGCAAGCCGATATGCAAATCTACCATCCTTTCATCTCGCATCAACATAGCAATAATAGGGTAAAAATTTCAGCAACTGGTTTCAGAGCATGGACTAACTCATTTCTGGAGAAGTGCTCGCAAAAGACCGTTGTATTAATGTCTGCCCAGTCAAATACCTTGACAAATAGCGTCTCGCATACCACATCTCCTTCTGGAAATTCTGTTCACATGCTTTCGATAGGGGGTCATTCTATTTTTGGTCCATCGCAAATTGAGCCCTCCGTTAAGGGATCGCTAAGAGGAAGGTCGGCGACGACTTCTTCCATGTCGTTGATCATATCCTGAGCATTGCCACCAAGTCATTACAGGCTCCAGAGTCTAGTACTTAGCATAGAATCTTAGGGTCTTCATAAGCCAGGACACCGAGTATCTTCGCATAGGAGCTGAGCTAACTGAACCATTCATTTCTCGGAATATAAGCGTAGTTGTTAATCGCTTCAGCTTTTATCAGATCGCCTGCTATTGTGCTTATACCGTACGCCTCAAGATACTACGGCCGCTCGTTCTGAACATGCTAATCCAAGCCTGCTTAGGTGTAAGTGCTGCGAGTCAAGCCTTCTCAGGTAGTAGATTCAGGCATTGCAGTTCCTAGAGTAGAACCGTATGAACTTGTACCAACTTCGATGATAGTATATTCAACATAGTATTCCCTTCCATGGCGTCAGTCACAGTGTCCAAAGCAACGGCTGTGGCCACATCTATACAGGCATAGTTAGCTGCTTGGTCTCACATTTGGCTTTAACCATCCAGAGGTCATATTTTCAGCCTGCTTCTGATGACGAAATATCCGCGCTGGAGCCATGCTCGTGTCGTAGGCCATTTCCATTACTCAATCTTCTGACCGGTGCGACGGTACGGCAAATGGGGTGAGAGTTTGATAAAACTCGGAGAACAAATCGTATCTACGCCCATGGACGGCCCATGCTAGTTAATAAGGCATGGAATTCTATTGAATACAATGGCCAAGGAGATACCAACAGTGTAGTATGTTGGCACATGTGCTACGTCACTGGCAAATAGTCGCTGGTCATTAAGCCAGCGAAGACGGTTGTATCGCTACCACGAAGATCACCGATAATCATTCCAGACTTATCGGCTTCGTACAGAGCTTCCACACGAAGCATTGAAGATAGGGTTCATCAAGGGCAGAGTTGTATACCGAAAAAGTGCGGAAGAAGATGCGGGAGTCCTGGAGGTGTAGACTGGATCGAGCTGTATTCGCATTCGCTTACAGAAAACAAAGAGCTTATCTTCTTAGATTGGGCATCGTCCTCCACGAATCCTGTAGATTTCATAGCCACATGCTTTATAATCCACAATATAGCTGCACGTCTGTAGAGTAGCATCGTCTCGTATTGAAGGTCAAGGCACAGGCCTTCCGTTGTGCGACCGCGACTTCTGTAGGCCGCGGAGAAGCGACCCAGGAGGAGGGAGGTCGCAGATCCTAGTAGGGTGACGATCGGCACGGCGTAGTTCAAAGAGAGCGTCAAGCTGCTTATCAATCACACTTCAGGAGCGTGTTGGTATCGCCAGGTGGTTATGGAGTGAGGCACAGCAGATTCCGTCATTCCGCGAAACGGAGCGTCCACGTCACTATGCATTTCGAGCCTTTACGGCCTCAAGGCTCAGTTATCATGTTCGATAGAAGGAAGGATCTTGGTATCTATCCCGTTACTCACGGAATACTCACCCTCTGTCTGGATAATAGGCGATGGCCAATGTCACAGCCTGTTGACTTCACCATGGAAAACATTCGGATACAGGTTACTCTTGTATAAGATAAACAGGTACGTTTGTAGCACAGATGCAACTTTTTTGGTAACTGCGTGTCAGCGTACTTTCGTCAATCCGGTCAGCTGATCGTTATATTGTGTTACCACAACACCAAGCTGCAGCACGTGGTCATGGTTCTTTTGAAACCCACCCTGCCACGATTCAGCACCTGGCTTCCTCTTGCTGATAGGGCAATCCAATTGTGATAACAATACTAAACAGAAGCGGATGTGCATACAGGGATCAGCGTGAGGCAGGTAATGGGCCAGCTTCAGCTACTGCGGTTGAACAAAGTCGCAGGAGCCTCGTATGTATCTCTCTTACTTCGGGGCCGAGTGGCTGCATTACCATCTTGTCACCCCATGTAAGAGTTGCATTGTCATTCCCTAATGCTGCAGTTGGATGGGCGCCTCGGTGGAACTAATAAATAATCCTCCGACAACTGCGTGCTCGACCAGTACTGTGCTTCAACTGGTACTCCTATACTTCGACTCGCACTCCAATGCTTTGATCATTACGTCTCTGCTTCGACCATTGCTCCCATAGTTCAACCGTTAAATTCGCCATGCTTTCTTCTTGCCAAACGGTGGGACTTCGTAATTTCATCATGTTCCGTCTTGCCATTCATTATTCCCCCATAGCTCGGATCAGCTTCTGACTAGATAAGACATACGAGAGGTGCAGCGATACGAATCAAATCAATGTACCTACCACCTCCTCTCCCAAAGGTCCCCGCTGCTTATTCTTCCCAAAGAGTCCTGCCGCTTATCTTTCACAAAGAGGGGTAATAATGAGAATATCCCGATCATTTCATTTTAACATAGATAGTGCAGGTATATAACGTGCCAGGTCGTGGCGGAGTTCTTTTCTTGCTCTATTACCAACTTTTACTTGTTCTCTTCTCTATAACAGTTCGTCCCTATCTATAACCGGAAATCCACACTTTCTTACCTGTCCAACTATGATGGGATATCCTACTTGGCTCACTATTGTAGCTGCAACAGCGGTGCACTGTGTTGTTTCCCCGTTACCAGAGGTTTCTCTAGAGCTCTATGTTGTTCCCTACCTTCTGGCCAACTTGATTCTATATTATTATCTATGGAAAGAAGGCCTCCCCACCGTTACCATCATCTTCAATTTCACAACCATCAACGCCTGTTTCCTTTTCACTTCTGCCATTTTCACTATCACCAGGCGGCTTTTCTTCTCACCGCTCGCCAAGTTTCCTGGTCCTAAGCTTGCTGCAATCTCGGGATTTTGGCATGCCAACGAAGGACGGCTTGGCCGGACCTCAAGAACATGCAAAGCCTTACATGATCAGTTTCAAAGTGACATCATCCGAATTGGCCCCAACGAGCTCTCTGTGAATAGAGTTGATGCTATTGAGAGGCTCTATGGAAAAGACTACAAGAGAGGAACCTTCGTTCCGGTTTTCAACATCTCTGGTGGGGATAACCTTGTGACACAGAGAGACAATCAATTACATAGCGTCTGGAGGCGCATGTGGTAGGTTCCTTTTCTCATTTACCCCAATACCTGCCATGTCTTACTAATCTTTATAATATTAGGGTGAGGGCTTTCAGTAGGGACAAGGTTACCGATTATTTAAACCGAATGCAAAGCCATGTTAACAAGGCCGTTCGCCTTTTACATGAGAAAGCTGGAAATCCAGTCGAATGTGGCAAGTTCATAGACGCCTTGACATTCGATGTGTAGGTCTTAAAAATCCTTAGTATCGAATGGAAGATTTTCTAAAGCTGATGCCATATAGAATCTCGGACATAGCCTTCTCTCAAGATACCAAATTTCAAGATGGCGCTGGTGATCGTTCACTCATCGATGGAATTCATATCTTCGTTCCCATGATCCCGGTATGTCATATACAAGAATACCTGCCTTGACTTCTCTGCCCTAACAGTCTTTATGGCCAAGGTGTTGGGCAATTTGCCGCATCTGCAACAGATTTGCCGGTACCTACCCGAGCCACCTGCAGGACGAAAATTCTCCGAATATCGTGATCAAATCCTAGCTGGACGCAGATCTCTCGAAGAACAGCCTAACGACATCTTCGCCCATCTGGAAGTTCCTGATGCATCGACAGGTATCAGAATGAGACCGATTGACCTCAAGCAAAGCATTCTCTTTATGATGATAGTTGGGGCACATTCTGTTGGTAGTACACTGACACGGACTCTTGCTGTTCTCGCTTCCCAGCCCCATATCCAGTCGTCCATCAGGCAAGAGTTGAACGAGGCATTTCACGGCGAAGGAACTGTCCCAGTGGAAACCATACGGAAACTCAAGTACTTGGATTGTGTGGTGAGAGAGGCGCTGCGTATGTTTGGTCCCGTCACTGACGGTACCCCTGTCATTGTGCCAAAAGGGGGCATCACACTGGAGAGTGGTAGCTTCATCCCAGGGGGGACTCAGGTTTGGATTGGACAGTACGTCATAATGTTCAACGAGGAATACTTCCCTAGGCCCTATGACTTCCTACCAGAAAGATGGATGAATATAGGCGATGAGGGACATGGGAAGGAGGGCGAACTGGTCAAGGATCGTCGAGCATGGATTCCTTTCGGCTATGGATTCCACTCTTGTGGTGGAAGGGCCCTTGCAATGGACGAGCTTAAGCAGACTGTGCTGAGAATTGTCATGGAGTTTGACATTCGTTTTGTCGAACATGAAGACATGCCATTTCAGTATGAGCAATGGGCAGACAGCTGGAAGGATTACTTTCTTGCGATGATTGACGAGATAGAGTTGAGGTTCGTTCCGAGGTGAAGGAGCTTAGAGACTTGGATTATCACAGACATGGCTGAGTTGGATAGGTAAAGGTCTATGGTATTCTAGCTAAAACAAGTTAATCATCGATGCGATAACGCAGCGAAGCTCTTGCATCACAGCATCCTCTTTTGCACACATTTCCGTCTTCGAATCTTAAAGTATCCAGCGAGGTAAATGTTTAGCATCTCCCCGAGCACCCTTTCCTCAGATCAAGAGTAACTTGGCAATGGATGAACAAATAGCGCCCATTAGCAATCTTACTCTCTGGCCTTGCTTAGCACATCCTCAAACCAGTCGAGTAGTACCTGGCTCTGCAGGACAGATGCACCGATCGAGCAGTGCTCTCCCGCACCCTCATCTGCGGTAAAGAGGCGATACAGTGCGTTGGAACCAATCGCATCAGCCAGCATCTTGGCTTGACCAGGGAAGAACTTTTCCAGCTGCGCATCGCCAATGAATATGGGTTGCTGGATCTTATCTGCCACATCCGTCAGGTTGTACGCCAAGGCCTTGGTCATCCATTCAAATGGTGTCTTGACGTTGAAGGACCACATGCCTTGCTGTACGCCCCAGCGCATGATGGTATCAGTGGAGGGCTCAGCAACTGCCGCCTCTATAATCGAGTTGAAAGTGTCTGCATCGCCTGAGTAAAATACTTCTTTCAATTCCTGAGGAAATTGGTAGAGCAGAGACTTCCCGAAATCATATACACCATCAACGGCAAATACAGCAGCAATGCGTTTGTCAAAGGCTGCCGCTCTCGGCGCAAGATAACCCCCAAAGGAATACCCCATTAAGCCGATGGCCTCAGAATCTACCTCTGGATGCTCGATTGCGAAATCGACAACCGGGGAAACGACTCTCTCCCATTCCGGAATGAAGCCAATGTTCTGACCGCGTCGGACTGCTGGCTGGCCTGGTCCCTCATAGGTGATGACGTTGATTCCACGCTCCAGAGCAGCCTTTCCGATTAAATGATACATCTCCTCCTGGGAGCCGTCGTAGCCGTTGCACATCAGGAGGGTTGGCCGAGGGCCAGTCAACCCAGTCCCAAAGAAGATTACAGGAATCGTAAAGTTACCATCCTCGGCTTGCAGGTTCACGCGCTTTCCTGGCACAGGGAGAAGAGCCATGGCAGTGTCGAATGCGTTCAACTGCTTGTCCCAGAGAGAATTGATGCGTGGATCACTCCAGTTGCCGTGCAAAAAGAAGTCAGCGGATCGGTAGTAGCTGGAAGCTCGAAACAAGGCGTTCCTTGCGGAAACTGGGTGTTTTTCTTTATCAATATTCCTGGCAGTCTCGTCGACGCGGGTGGCAAGATCAAAGAAGGCATTGGAAAAGCTCTCGAAGTTGCCAGGATCAATCTTCTTGGCCGCCACAAGAACTTCACCGATGTCTGCACCTTCGTATGGTGCTAAGGACATGACACGAAGAAGTTCAAAATGGAAGTCATCGTCTGAGCTAAGTTGAAACATTGAGTCTGTCGTAGTGTTTTTCAGGTCGGTGCTAGGTTGAGCAGCAGATACCTGGGTTTTGTTAGAAGTTTTGACTTTTTAAAATCATACTCCATTATGGCTGTGACTTACAATGCAAACGTTGAACAAACCAAATAGCCCGAGTGCTTGGTGTAACTTCATGTTGTCGTTTTGGTCAAGAGGCAAGGATAGCAAAGCAAGCGTCAGTGTTTTTATTGTGAGCATATCGGTGGTAGAATAGCATACCCAGGGGCTTTTTATAAGAAAAATTATCGCAAACTTACAGTCATTTGACATGTGCTCAGAGTTAGGGATGCAACAGGGGTGGATTCGTTGCTAACTACGAACGAGACACTGATTGGTGCTCGTTTAGTCGGAAGTTGAACGAGCAGAGCCTCACAGAGAGTGACGAAGGTGGCTCAGCTAAGACCGCATAAGCCAAATGCACAATACTTGCTTAGTGTTCCATCTTACTACACATATTTGAGTAGTTACAGCTGAAGATTATTGATCAACAAAGATTCAGTCCATCTTAACGAGAACGAGAACGTGTTTCAAGACGTAATCACGGCCACAATCCGAAGTTCAGCATCACTATATTTTCATTATGAAGTTGACAGGCTGTATTACCATGGCATTGATGCACTCTCTAGCATTCCAATAGGCTCACTCAGCAGTACCTGCCATTCTGTCGGCAGCTCTTGGAGAATTGCCCACGCTTCCCGGTGCCCAGCATCACCAATGTACCACATCCTACTCAACCACCGTAACATGACGAAGTAATGCACAAGGATCGCCAGAGCTCTCGGACGCCGCTCTTCCACAAAAGCTACAAATTCATCGTCGAGAAGCATGGGCAGGATGAGTAATCTTAGGTGCATCTCCGGGCACAGCTCTTGAGCGTGTCTGAATCTCCAGATGGCGCCCACCACACTTATTGCTGTGTTGTAAACCAGATGCGTCTCGTCTGACCAGGCTTCAGTATTCTCCAGTGATTCTCGATAATCCAATAAATGAATCAATTCCTCTGAGTGTTGCAGTTTTTGCCTTTCCTCCACGACATAGAATGCACCCGATGTCATTTTCCAACCAATTGATTCTGGGTTATCCCTTGCCAGCTCCCTGGCCCGGAGGAACACAATATGGGTAGCTCCCGTCATGCGCAGCCAATCTACTGGAGGTGTATATGGCTTTAAGGTTCGGTTTTGGAGTCGGTGAAAATCGTAGACTCGAAATGCGCTAGATGCGAGGCACGCATAATCAATATTATCTGCTGTTAAATGGTCAAGATCATTGTGATGCGCGTTAAGAGCTAGATGGAGATAGGTAGATGTGCATTTCTCCACGTCAATGGTCTCCTTGGTTCCATCAATCTTTGCTTTATGGGCCTTGTGTAGAGCTGATAAGAGGCAAATAGAATTCAGCACAGCATCGGATCGAAGGGCCGCCTGGCACATGATGGGGCCCCAGATGTCCTGAGTGCTTTCGCCAATGGCTATGCTCTTCCCTGTCTCAGTGCTGTAATGATAGAATAACTCCAGTTCCAGCTTTCGACGAGATTCTGATTCTATGCTCTCTAGCTCAGATTGTTTCCTCTTTTCTAAAGAGCGTCCCGGGGCATCTCTCGGGGCGGCGGAGACTTGGGCGTACTCACACACCAAATCCAGCCGCTTACAATTGGAGCATATCGGTTTGCCTTCGTCACACTATATTCATGCGTACATTAGCGATGGTAGACCGTGATGGATCTCGTCCTGCCCCGGACTCATACCTTGACGCGGCGGATTCTACATCGCTGACACCCTGTCCTGGTCTTTCTGTGGAACAGCTTGGCGTGCCGCTTACGAGCCGGTCCATTGCGACCCTCTAAGGTGCCGAAATTAGTTGTCGGCATGTTTTCAAGGTAACAGGGTGATGGAAATGCCTTGGAAATCCCAGTACATGAGGAAGCGATGTTGGGGTAAGAATGAACGAGAACGAGCGAGATAGAGTGGCGTTTTATTACTACTAGTGCTCATCCAGTGCCGAGTTTCCGGAGACTGGCCCATGAAAAGGTCCAAACAGCTCGCTTACCAACCAGGCGCGTGATAAAAAACATGGCCCATATACACAATTTATACACAACGATCCAAACAATAAGTATCTAAATAAAATAAGAATAACTATATAAAAGCTCTTTCAAATTATGTACAGCCTGTTACTGTTATTTTATTATTATTATCGAATATCATTGAAGAAATGTGATCTCAAGAGTATAGGTTTGTATATACTGATGGTTTCTTTGGTAGTACACCCCCTACTTTACATAGGCCATGTTTTTTGTCATGCGCCTGCCAACTGATCGGCAGGGAGTCAAAGGAACGGATGCTGGTGCCGAACACAAGCCACCAATTCAGGATAGCATCAATGGTGTTGCCCCACTAGAAAAGAATCCATAAACGAGAACGAGGAGGCAGCCAGATGAAATGAGTACCGATAGTTGGGTCGTTGGAGCTCTTGGGTAGAACTAATAACGGCGCGATGTGATAAATAAGGCCTTCTCTCTATCTAATTGTCCTTTTTTGCCATTATACCAACTTATCCAGATAAAAATTCCTCAGTTTTCCAAGTAAAAGACCACTCTTTTCAAGTCTGTCATGGCCCTGAATCAGATCCTTACAGGGGGTATTGGCCTCGCAGCCGAAGCGATAAAACACCAAAAGAACAAGAAAGCTGCCAAAACTTCAACCGCAGACGAGTCGATATTATTTGAGACAGTTGAATCCTCCCATTTCCAGCAAACGAATGCTGGGAACGAGGAAGTATCTCAAGAGGCCAACAAGATTTCACTAAGATGCACTATGTCGACCGACAAACTTCACAACGATCTTGACGGTTTTGAGAAGAGACCATCTATGGAATCAGGTCCACCGCGGGCTGTTATACCAAGAGGCATAGGCAAAGATCCTGCGCGTATTTCTACCCTTGTCGAGGCATTCCTCGCAGTCCACCGACCACTCGTACGCCAGACGCCTGCCCCTTTGCCATTTGCCGTCATAATTCCACAGCGACGGCCTGAATCGAGGCAGAGAGGATTCGTGCCTGCATGTGCACCTTGTCTTGCGCCTTGTGGCATCAGTGAAGACGCCTTCATGCAGTTTCACGAATTCTATAACGAGTCTCTACGCTACTCGAATGCCATCAAGGTTGTTACTGTTGCAGCTGGAGCAGCTGGTCTGGTTCCCAGTATCACGGCCACCGTCGTCTCCTTGACGGTTGGGGCGGCTGCGCAAACTGCAGCTTCATTGCAAAGCCGCCAGCGCACGAATGATTTCCTCTCACAGATGAACTTGGAGTACTTCATGCCTATGGGACTTGTCTGCCTCGTTATGAGATATACAGCTCCTGAACAACACACTGAAGCTACAAATATTTACCAAGCCCAATCCCAAGCAACAAACCAATCGCGTTGGAACTTCAGTGTCGACCACGGCCAGATGGGAGATGCATCAATGCCACTCGCGGCTCCTCTTATCTTCCCAAAAGCCGGCTCAATGCAAGATCAAGAGAAATCAACAAAGTTCAAACGGGCAAAGCAGTTTATCCAGGACTACGGAGACCGAAGGGCACAAGCCGAATTTGCGAGGAGCCACCCGGAGTCACAGTTGGCCAAGGCTGTAGCAAGCCAAGTCAAATTCCAAAGCTTTTTAGGAGATCCAAGAAATTTCTCCAGCGTCTCTATGAATTCATTACAAGAAATGGCTCATGACAGGTTGACAGGTCAGGTAGGTCTGAGCCTTGTGAACTTCCAACTCACTCAATCATGGCTAACTTCATTAAGCAGGGATCCAGATTCCCTGTTCCTCAGCGTGATATGAGATTCAGAAGCAGAGCCCAAATGGGTCATCATGAAGGACAGCGATTTCAACATGCTAGCCTTAATACTCCAAATCCACAACCGACGGAAAGGGGTAATTCCACCGAGGATGTCCTCTACATGATGATTGTCCCTCTTCCCACCAAGGAACAAATCAATTCTGCATATGACGAGCCACCAGCATACTTGGAAACTGAGGAGGTGAGATGGTGAGAATACTTAACAGGCTCATCGATTCATTCTCTCCAGCTTTGTTGCATCTTAAATTTCAATCACCAGGTAGAGCTTTGCTGATCAAACATGATAATTTCGATTTATGATGATAATTAACCTTCTATTCAATTTAAAGTTTTCCCAGCATCTCTTCTTAGTATCTCATTCAGTTCGTCCCGCATTTTACAGTTGTCCAAAGCAAAACTTGCTGCCAGCTCCTCGAGCTCGTCTCTCGTCTTCCCGCGGAAGAGTTCTGCAAGCTCGCGACTAACATATTCGCTAAGAAGGCATTCTCGGATGACGCGCTCGAAATGCCTCTCAAACGTCCATATCTTGGGATATCGGGCATTATGAAACTTGGGGTCGACCATGGATTTGAGTGCCTCAAAAAAGGGCCCGTAGATTGGTTGGACCTCGTCTTTGTTTGCGACACCCCAGAAATCGAGACCAAGGCTCTTCTTGTTGTCCACGAATGGCTGGATGAGCTTCATGTACGGGGACTCAGGGTCTACATATGTCATGGCCTGATAGCCAATGTCTTTGTAGAGCCAAATTGACCAGTGAACACCAGTCTCGCGGTAAATTGCGAGTTGTTCCTCGAGAAGAGCAAACCGCTTTTTGTTTGTCTCTCTCGCACTGTCCCCCTCCTTTCGCTCGTCTTGGTACACTGGACCAAATTCTCCATTCCAGATGGGTACGTTCTTCTGCCTCATGAATTCAACTTTGCGCTCAAAGCTGGCACGGAGCTTGTCTTTTTGCTCTTGTGTTCCTTCGTATTGTTCGCCGAATGGGAACCCCATCATGCTGTAATCATGGCAGGCGTAAACGGTATTCGGCAGCGGTTCCTCTGGGAATGCTCTGAAATCCATTGAGTAGGTGTTCCCGTCGACCCAGAGGATGTGGTCAGGGTCAATAGCACGAATGGCCTTTTCAGCACGAGCGTACCACTCAATCAGACGAGCGCCGTAGAACCCAGAGGCAGTCTTGTGAGGGTCTGCAGGCTCATTCAGCGGGTTGTATCCCGCAATTACAGGGTTACCCACGTAGTGTTTGGCCAGTGCTTCCCACAGCTGAATCGCGCGGTCTTGGTGATCCTTGAACTCCCAGAATTGGGCTCGAGCAATGCCCGAGTCGCTGTGCCAATCCTGATTCTGGCCTCCAGGGGCAGCATGAAGATCTAGAATGACATAGAGGTTGTGCCGCGCACAAATCTCCACGCATCGATCCACTAACCGGAATCCTTCCTCCTTGATCGCGTCGGGCTTCATATCATCCATAAAGTGGCGGTAGTTGATTGGGATCCGAATACAGTTCAGCCCCAACGACTGGAAGTACTGCGCATCGGCGTCTGTGAAGAAATGGTGAAGGAATCGGTCAAAGAAGAATTGGGCATCCGCCTCGCCCAGGACTTCGGCCATCTGCTCCCGGTGCTCATGCTCGTGGCCAGCATATCCTGTGATGAAGTTCTCCATGTTCAGGAAGCCACCCAAACCGGCGCCCTTGAGAATAACGACATTTCCCTGCGGGTCCTTGACTTTATCCCCATCCACCCGGAGCATCACGCAAGGGGGGTTGGTATGAACTGTCGACGCCATGATGGATTGAGGTGTGAAGCGTCAGTAGAGCCGCATAAGCGAGAGCGATCGGGTCTTCTAGGTTTAAATAACCCTCTTTGACCCGTAATCGAAAGATTTGAACGAAATGTCTTCTTAAGGCCTCAAAGACGTGAGGTCATAGCATCCGAGCACCACTCCAGAGTGGAGAGCTCACGCGGGCATTCTTTAGAAGCGACACTCCCCGACACCCACACCTCTAGTATATAGCCCCATCACATGGATCTTGATTTAGCCGCATGATACGGGGTGGACCATGAAGTGCCGCGTGGCCGTACAGCCAAGATTATCTATTGATTCCAATTTTACTACTACCGATGCTGTACATTATACAAAGCAACGAAATCTATGGTGTTCGTGCCCAATACGAGAAAACTAGTGACCTCAAGTTCAATGGATGAAACTCAGTGTTCCCATACGATTCATTAGTCATACATATTTTATTACAAGATCTCCAGCTCGAAATAATACATACGTATCTAGGATATACCATGTATCTCCAAAGACTGCTTCAAGAAGCGGTTCCACTCCCTGAGATCCGATATCTCCCCTTCCCACTCGGAGACGAGCCGCCAGACCTGCCACACAGCGTCACCCCAGCACTGCGGCAGAGGATACTTGAGCTTCGCCGCGCCAAGAATGATCACGGCGCTCCTCATGCATGTGCGGATCATGAACCAGGTCCCGTGGTGACGGTGCATGAACCCCGGTAAGTTGACGTAGATCCGGCGGATGTGAGCCTCAATGCCCTTCTTCGCTAGCTCATCCACAGCTCGTGCCAATTCAGGGCTGGAGACGGAAGCGGTAAGACGGGCCATCAGAAATGGCCAGTAGAGCGCTTCGTAAAAGTTCACAAGGTGTCCGCGGAGGACGAAGACGCACACACCATCTCTTTCGGGAGGCAAATCCAGCGACAGCTCCGGGGGCAAGCTCTCGACCCATTGTTGGGCCTGAGCCTCATACTCGGGGACGAGATATTGCAGCTCTTCGAGAAATTTCGAGTTGGAGCCCGAGGTGCGGTGCAGGTCCATGATCTCATGGGAGACGCGGCTGAAGAGACGCCGTAGGGATATCTCAGACAGGTAGAACAACCATGATGCTCTCTCGTGGTCATCGCTCGTGTCTCCAACCACTTCAGCTGACACGGGGGGTGTAGGGAAAAAGGAAGGGTACAGATTAAGGGTTGAAGCAGAGGGATTGAAATCAGGCAAGAGAAGCTCAGAACGGAGCTCCCTTTCCGACTTCCACGCCGACCAGTACAAAGCCTGCTGTTGCGTTTCAAGTCCAGCAACGTCCATGGAGCCCACAGGAGTTCCGGGTGTGCCTGTCGTGCAGGCGCTGTGGGCCGCCCTGGCCAGTATGGGGAGATGTTGGCATGCAGCAAGGGCCTGAGAGAAGAGCCTCCAGGCGTAGATTGGCTGGTACACGTGCATCATGTAGATGCCCGATAAGAGCAAGCACTGGGGTCCGATGAGGCTCGGCTGGCAAAGGAGACTGCCGAGCCTCTTCTGACCGGCCTGGAAAAAGACGTACGACTCTGTGAATGGCACTGTATTAGGCCCGGTTTCGGGGTTCGGTCGGAAAGGGGTGGCTATCCTCCCCAAGGCACAGATCAGGAGGGCCAAGCATGACTCCGGGGACCAGTCGATGCCCTCCGAGAGCTTGTTTAGAACGAGCTTCCGCGTGCGTTTCTCCACAAATATTGGATTCTTGCAGTGCACGTAGAGGAAGAAACTGTCCAGTATTGCGTTTATTCCACTCGGCTGGATGTCTAGAACGTCTCCTAAGCTGCTAGGAGGTGTCGGTGCCAGGTCCGAGGGCCCATGTGCCGGTGGATTCGAAACTGGCTGGTCTTGGAAGATTGACCACTGCAGCAGGCTTTCAATTTTCTCCGGCAAAATGCTCCTTAGAGAAACATCGTCGCTGTCGGAGGACTCTGGCCACTGGTCTCTGGGGCTTGACGATACATTCTCGTCATCGTGCTTCTCGCGGTTTGGAAGGGGCTGGAAGGGGATGTTTTGGAAGCCCTCTTGGATGGCATTTTCCAATTCATCCAGTCGCTCGAGGATTTTCAAGCTCGCAGGGTCGAACGACGATAAGTCGACAGGGGACTGCACGCATGTAACTCCGGCTTTCAGGCAGTAAGAGCACGACGGCTTGAGGTTGTCGCACTTGGTCTTGCGTGCTCGGCAGACCTGGCACGCTGTGATGGCTCTCTTTCGGGGGTAAAACGCTCTGCCCCGACCAGCCGGTCGTTTCCGGGGAATGCGGGGGATATCATCGGTGTCCAGTGCCGCGGGTTGCTGCTCTTCTGGGGTCGCCATGCGTCTTAGTCAAGAGGGAATCAGAAGTGTGGTTTCGTGTCACAGCTGGAGAGGGGCACCGTCTCTACCTATGACCTTATATCGCGGAATTGCGCTCTTAAAGAGCCTTCGTCTCCACACAGGAGGACTCCTCGGGGAATGCCGCTTATCCCTTCTAGCGGGTGTGAGGTTCCCGCAATACCCCAGCTTGACCCCAAACCACTACCGCAGATTCGTTGGGTCGCATGACTCGATGTCGCTGTGGCAGTAACCGGATTAGTCGGTGGGACTCGCGATGTATTCATCAATGGTGCCATCCAGAGACATCTCGTGTGGCAGAAAGCACTATATAGAGCAGGGACTGGTCCGCCAGCTTCTCTAACGGTGCTGGCTTCAGCAATCCCTACTCTTCACCGGTTGAGAAGACAGCTTGCAAGAAATGGCACCAAAAGATCAAACCGACGAGCATGATGTTGAGCACATCGATGAGAAGGGAGTGCAGCCAATTGAAGACGAGCAGCTGGCCCAGGACCGCGACCTCACGCTCAAAGTCGTCCTACGCCAGCATCCATGGATTCTGTTCTGGTCATTCTACTGGGCGACTGCCGGCATTGCATGGTTCGTCACCGTCAACTGTTCCCTTTGGCTAGGCTAACAGCGGGAATAGGGGTTTCGATGCTCAGATCAACGGGGCTATGATATCCGTAGCCTCCTTCCGCCGCGATTTTGGGTAAGCCGTGGCTCTCTCCAGACTATAAGCATTGTTTCTAACGTATGATCTCCAGTTACATCAGCAATGGCGAAGCGATTCTTCCCGCGAATTGGCAGACGGCCTTCAACAGTGTCAGCAGCGTGGGCCAGTTCTTTGGTGGCTTCCTCTGCTCCTGGGTGTGTGATAAGATCGGACGAAAGGCCTCGCTGCTAGTCGGTCTGCTCATCACAACTGGCGCCATCTTTGGAGAGATCTTCTCGACCACGAATGCCGCCTTTGTTGTTTCAAAGCTCATTCTCGGCTTTGGCCTAGGCTTTTATCTGACCTTGAGTCCTCTAGCAACCTCTGAGATTGCCCCTACCGTCCTCCGAG